GCCTTGTTGCCGGGCAGTGCCGACAGACACCCAGCGAACACGTCTGGCCGTCCGTTTGGCATCTGCTAGCCTCAGATTCTGTTCGCTTCCCGAAGCTCTTCCCAGTCTCCGCACCTTTGGTACCACCCTCCCTCGCGGGGGAGTGCCAGGCTGTGCCTGGTTGCGCCAGGCCGGGCCGGGCCCCACAGGATTCAGCGGCCCAGCCGGCACTATGCTCGTCGGCGTCTGTTTGCAAAATGCCTGTTGTTCTCGCGTTTTCCCATCATAACTGAGGACTTGGCAGGGCCCCATGTGACAGGCCTGGTGGGAGAGCGAGCTCTGCTTAGGGAGTGCGGCCGCTCCCGCGTGCCAGGCCGAGGAAGCAGGCTCGACAGTCGCGCAGGGGCCACCTGAGTGGACGCCGCCGGGTGACAGCCGGCCTGGGCCCGGCACCCTCTGCAGAGCGCGGCGCTGCCAGCAGGCTGTCGGGAACCAGCCTGCGAGGTGCCGCTGGGGCGTGCTGGCTGGCGTTTCTCTCCTGTGTGTGTCCTCCCCTAGCCCCACTTTCGAGGAATTCTGATCTGTGTCAGGCCAGAGAACATTCCTCTTGGGCCCTACCCCAGAGCCCCAGAGCAGTGGCCTCCAGACTTTTAAAACCACACACCCCCCGGCAGGAAAACGTTGGTGCACATACTCCTCATTTGCCTACTTACAACTGGCATTCCGTGTGCTGCTATGGAATGTGTACATTCGAAACGTACAGGCAAAGGAAATCTTAATGAGTTATGTGATTTTAAAGGACGGAAGAAAAAGGGAACAATTACAGATTTGCTTTTAATCTGATTTTATTGTAAGCGCACGTTATTGGATAGACTCCTTAGAAAAAATATAATCTTGTTCCTCCCTTTCTGATTCAGTGGTGCCCCGGTGTGTCCCCAGCAGAGTGCATTTCGGAGCTACATTTTACGTTTCCCTCGCTGGAAACAGGCTTTCAGAGAAAGGACTTTTCCGTGGATCATGTGTACCATGGTTGTGCTTACGAAATCCCGATCCCCATTTCCCCAGCCCGTCCCCAGTTACACAAAGGATTTTGCTGAACTTTGCAGTTGCTCTTGCAGTTTTTTGTGTTTTTTTTAACAAGGCTACACCGCCTCGGGAGCTCTTTTGTTTGGAATTCTTTTAAAGATAAGGAAATTGTTTACAATTCCTAATTATAGGAGTGCAGTGTAGAGGCACACGACATTTTAGAGATGGCTTATTCTTTTAAAATGTATTGGATTTTTAGTTATTTATTTAATTGGGATTTTTAAAAATTATTTTTAGCCAAAGCTGGTTTGGCTCAGCGGTAGAGCATCGGTCTGTGGACTGAAAGGTCCCGGGTTCGATTCCGGTCAAGGGCACGTACATTGGTTGCGGGCACATCCCCGGTAGGGAGTGTGCAAGAGGCAGCTGGTTGATGTTCCTCTCTCATTGACATTTCTAGCTCTCTAGCTCTCTTCCTTCCTCTCTGTAAGAAAAATCAATAAAATATATATTTAAAATACCTTATTTTTAATTCGATACACAGTAAAATTCACTCCTTAGTGTCTAGTCCTATGAGTGTTGACAAATACATGTTCTTGTAACCTCTCTCACCAGTCAGAAAGTCCCACCGCCCCCCGCCCTCCCTCTGTAGTCGAACTGCCCCCTGTCCCATAGCCTTTGGCAGCGGAGGGTCACAGCCCAGTGCATTTCACATGCATCCACGTTGCTGTGTTGCTATGTTTGTCCGTGGTCAGATCTGTGATTTTCAGACACTTCTTCCCAGTCTATCTCATATTTTTATTCTCTTACTAGTGTCTTTTTTAGAGCAAAAGTTAAAACTTTTTATGAAGTTCAGTTGGGCAGGTTTTAAAAATTAATTATGTTCCTGTTGAAGTATCTTAAATCTTTTCTAACATTAAGCAACAAAGATTTTCTCCTGCATTTTCTTCTAAATATTGTCCATTTTGAATTAATTTTTTTTGCATAGGCATTTCCGTTGTAGACTACAGAGATCACATAAAATGAAAATACTGCCAAATGCCAGTTCTCTCCATAGCAAAAGTTTCTTTTGAAAAGGAGTTATATTTTCATTCCCTGTTAAAATGTCACCTTTACTTTGAAGGGACAGATTTAGTGTGTTTATGTTTTTGGAAAATCTGGCAAAATAGTCTACTTTTTACCACAAAAGGCAGCTAGCTTGGAATGCTGGTCTTTTTGCCGGGGGGGGGGGGGGGGGGAGGGCGAGGGGGGGGCGGGGGGCCGGGGCGGGAGTATAACTTACATTCTCATTTTTAAGATTTTTTTATGTAAATGAACCTCTTTGTAGTCCTTTCTCTCATCACAAAAAATTACAAGGACCCTACTGTGTAAAGATCTGCTTTTGTGAGCTCAGTCTCTCAGTGCCATCCTACAGCACAGAAACAGTGGTATATTCACAATGTGCTGAAAGCAAAGGCGAAAGGGTACCCCCCCCCCAAAAAAAAAAAAACCCACACACAGCGAGAGCCCCACACTTCCTGTTAGATACCTGTGCAATGACACATGCTGGCCCAGGGGAGATCCCAGAGGCAATCCATGCCTTAGGACTGTTTAGCAAAATTTTTAAAGATGAAAGAAAATAGATAAAATTTCTAATAATTTTTTCCTACTCTGGGGGGTTGTCTTATGTGTCTTCCGGGAATACCGCTGCCCTGAAAAGTCTTAGGAAGCTGCCTCGCTTCCTGCTTGTGCCAAACAGATTGCAGGTGACCTGTGCGTGTGTGAGAGGCAGGTGACTTTTCCTGTCACAAATGGTAAAGCTGTGGTGCCGTTTTCCTGCCTGCTTTCTTCCAGAATTCATTTTCCCACCACCACCTTCTTCTAAGCTCTGAACCTAAAGGTCTTGACAAATGTTTTTGTTTCGTTTTTTTTTTACTTTATTTGTATTATTTTTTTTAAATATACTTTTATTGATTTCAGAGAGGAAGGGAGAGGGGGAGAGAGAGACAGAAGCATCAATGATGAGAGAGAATTATTGATCGGCTGCCTCCTGCACACCCCCTACTGAGGATTGAGCCCGCAACCTGGGCCTGTGCCCTTGGCTGGAATCAAACCCAGGGCCCTTCATTCCCCAGGCCGACGCTCTATCCACTGAGCCAAACCAGCTAGGGTTTGACAGACGTTTCTTAGAGACGACACTCCTGATTATTCATAATGTATGGCCATTGAACTATAAGTGAATATAATTTTGGAGCTGGCAGGGGACTTGGAGGTCAGCTAGTGCAAATTGCTTTTTAAAATATTTTTCCTAATTCCTTCTTAAAATCAAGTAAAAAATGACAGGGAACTGGAGGCGTCCAGAACACAGGTGTCAGGGGGCCCCTCTTCCTGGCCAGGTCATAGGAAGCCAAGCAGAGACTTAGCATTGGGGGGTGAAGGGCCTCCCCACGCTGGGGCAACGTTGTGGGCAAAGTTGGTGAAGTGCAAGTTCCAGGAACTTGATGGGGTTGGGCCCCGCTAGAGCAAAGGCCACCCTGGGAAGAGAGCAAGAGAAGGGGCTGCAGCCGAAACCGGTTTGGCTCAGTGGATAGAGCATCGGTCTGCGGACTGAAAGGTCCCAGGTTCGATTCCGGTCAAGGGCATGTATCTTGGTTGAGGGCACATCCTCAGTAGGGGGTGTGCAAGAGGCAGCTGGTCAATGATTCTCTCTCATCATTGATGCTTCTAACTCTCTATCCCTCTCTCTTCCTCTCTGTAAATACTCAATAAAAAAGTATCTCATCCAAACACTTCCAGGCTTCAAGGCTGCCACACTCAGTTTCACGCCCAGTTCTAGTCTGAGGGCTCCTGTGCTCCTCGGGGACGGTTCAGGGTCCAGGAGAGCTGGTTGAGGTTTGAGCAGCAGCTGGGAAACGTCCGGTGCTACACCTGGGGGCACAGGCTTCTGATGTGTTTGTATGTTGGAGGCAGCCAACAGTTCAGCTGCCCGGGAGGCAGCTTTCCCCCAAGTCAGGCATTCTGCCTTTCTCCCGGCACTGACCCCTGAAGGCCTGTGCTCCTGGCAGCGACGGTCCCGTGGGCACCGATCTGCATCCAGTCTGGTTAACCAGTCCCCCCGGGTTCCTCCAGCCACTGAGTAACAGAGGTCATGGGAGAGCCCGCTCCTTCGGCGTCTGTTTGTTTTCAGAGTGGATTTCAGAGCAGGCAGCGATATTCAACTCAGGGTACAACCATCAGACCATTAAAAATGCAGGCAGCAATGCAGAACACGGCCGGCTCACGTCAGCCAGGCATGTCAGGGTAACCGGAGGAGGCAAGCATGGGTAGGGCCGGTGTTCGTGGGCGTAGACGCCAAGTGGCATGGCCGGCCCTGGCTCCTGTGTCTCCTGTTCCCTGCCACCCTCCCGCCGGAAGAGAGGGGAGCTCTGTGTAAGCTACACGTCTACATGGGATTGCTGCTCAGCGAGCACTCCTGTGACCTAGGGATCCAGTTGCTCACACCTCAGAGAGAGACTCCCCATGTAGGAGGGGGTAACTGCCACGGAGGTTAGACACCACAGGAAGGCACGGCCCGTGAGAAGAAGGTGGGCTTGGTGGTTTATTCTTGCCCCAGGGATTCTGTAGGGTTGGACCAAGAGGGTGAGAAAGGTGCCGGTTCCCATGGGCTGGTTTCCATGCCTACTCGAGGACAGCCGTGGCCAGCACGCAGGGCTGAAATCAAGCGGGTCTGGGAAAGGCCAGTGTGGATCCCGGTATCAGAGGATGTCAGGAGGGAATTGGGAGTTTGTGATCTTCCTACCTTCTCTCCTGGGCTACTGAAAATAAGACAGTCCTGGTGTGGGCTGGCGGGGCTCCTTAGCCCTGTCCGTTCTGCCTTCTCCTGGACTGCTCACTGGCTCACTGCTCCCTTTTTCCTTTGTCAGTCCTGGAGGGCCATGGCCACTGTGATTCGGGCTGGTTTTCCCGAGTGGGTGGGTGAAGGAGATGTCTAACCATCCATTTGTGTTCTTGCATTTCAGTCGTTCCAAGGAAGTCAAGGACGCGCATACCTCTTTAACTCAGTGTGAGTGTCTCTCAACAGTCCGTCCATTGTTCGGTGCCCCTTTGAGGGTTGGGGGGGAAACACAGCAACACTCAGTGATAATTAAACAATGGAGCCTGCCCTCTGTGCCACAATAAAAATTAAAAAAAAAAACAGCCGTGGCATGTTGCGTTCCACAAGTGGTCGCCAGTTACCTCTGGGGGTTTTTTTGGCAGCATCTTTGGCTGCAAACAATATATTCACGAGCCCCAGGATGCACATGGGAGAGCTGTGGTCTCATAGGGAAGAAGCTGATGTGCTTCTTAGGAAGCCTCCACGTGAGGGCTTAGAACCAGGCCTGAGGCACGCTGGGAAAAGGAGGAGATGGCAGGGAAGACCTAAGGCTGGAGGGAAGGCCTCTGTTCCTCCGGCAGATGCACAGTCTGCCCCAGCCCTCAGTCACTAGCCGGGCACGTCATTTACGGCCTCTTCCCGGGAAAGGAAGGTGGGGCGCACACAGGCCGAGGAGCTGTGCTGGTGGACAGCCTGCGGGTGCAGTTGAGAGGGTGTGTGCTCTGTGGAGGCGCAGAGCGGGTTTGATACCCAGGGCTCACTCACCTCTGTGCTCAGGGCAGGCCTGGGCTGTCATGGTTCACATTTCCGGCTGCAGCCAACCCCCAGGGAGCTCCGAGGACCTGTGCCCATGGCCTTGGACTTCCCAGTGTGGCCGCCCGTTTGCCCCTGTATGTCACAAGATTGAAAGCACCTCTTAGGAACATTCCAAGCAAAATCTCAACCATCAAGACTATTTCTAGTCAACTCGTTGAATCAGAACTTGCAGGCCTAACATTCACTTCCACGTGGTGGGCCTTTGGGGGTGGGGAGGGGGTTGCTATTGATTTCAGTTGTGGAGGGCACCCTCCTGGGCGTGGGCTTCCCCCGAGGCAGCTGTGCTCAGCTGGCTTTTGCTGGGAGCTCAGCTTGAGCAACGGATGCTGAACAGGTGACTGACTACCCGTTCTCTCTCTCTCTGTCCCTTGGCACAGAGTTAATGTGGGCTGCGGGCCTGCGGAGGAGCGAGTGTTGCTAACGGGACTGCACGCAGTCTCAGACATTTACTGTGAAAACTGCAAAACCACTCTGGGCTGGAAATACGTAAGTACTGAGAAGTCTGGTGGAAAGAGGGACCTGCAGGGGAAGCCGAGAGCCTCTCTTTAGAAGTGGCCTTTCTGAGGCCTGGGGGACCGTCTTTGACCAGGACAGGACCCTGGCCCCAAAGGCACACGCCTGTGCGCCATACTCATTCTTCCCTTTTCACTACTCTTTCCCTCACACCACGCCAGAGACAGACAGACACATACACACCCCCCTTTGCCTTTAAATAAACAATAATACGGGCCCAGCATTTCCTCCTGACAGCTTAGTGTGTTCCAGGCACACCTTATGTTACTTTCTCTCCACAGTATCCCACCCCCAGAGGGTAGGTCATATTTTAACCCCTATTTTTATTTATTTTTTTATTTTTTATTTTTTATTTTTATTTATTTATTTATTTTTTTTTAGTTAAAGAACCATTACGTATTTATTGATTTCGGAGAGGAAGAGAAACATCAAAGAGGAGAATCAGGGATTGGCTGCCTCCTGCACACCCACTACCAAATGGGGATGGAGCCTGCAACTCAGGCAGGTGCCCTGACCAGGAAATGTACTGGGACCTCCTGGTTCATAGGCAACGCTCTAACCACTGAACCACACCGGCCAATAATATATATATTATTCTTCCCTCCCTCCCCACCCCTATGCTTGTCTCCAAGACCTGAAACTGACGGCCACCATCAGTCAGGCAGTCAGGGTCTGGCCGTGGGACTGCTGTCGCACTGGAATGGAACCCGTCAGCCACAGCACGGCCATTAACCCCTATTTTTAAAAAGCATGTTTTCATTGATTTGCGAGAGGAAGGAAGAGAGAGAGATAGAAACATCATCAATGAGAGAGAATCATTGATCGGCTACCTCCTGCACGGATCTCCCCCCACCCCCCACCCCCCCTCCCCGACTGGAGATGGAGCCCACAACCCACCCCTTCACGTGCCCTGACTGGGAATTGGACTCTGACCTCCTGCTTCACAGGTCGATGCTCAAACTCTGAGCCACACCCGCCAGCTTAACCCCCATTGAGGATGAGGGCCCGGGCTGAGGGAGGTCAGCAGTACGTTCCATGTTACCTCGCCATTGCCTGGCTACATAGGCTGGGGCTCCAGGTGGTGGTCTGAGTGCAGGGCCCCTGCTCTTTCGTGCCCCAGTAAGTGCCCAGAGCACCTTAGTCCCGGGCCCTGTGCTCGGCGCCGTCAGCATTGGTAGTGCCTGCCCACTGTCAGCCATGCTGGGCTGGACTTTGCCAACCAGTCATCCCTTCGTTGCAAGTATTTCCCGCCTCTTCTTGGTACCTGGGGAAGTCCGCGGGCGTGGCCAGGGTGGGAGAGGTACACGTCCTCTATGGAAATGCTTGTCTTGTTGTTTTCACTGGGTGATCCTTCACAGAGTGGAATTGAACAAGGAGTCTTCCCGTCCCTGACAGTCCGCCCTGTCGGGTGCCTACCGTCATGTCTCCTTCGTCAGGGAGGAGGGGCCTGCGGGAGGCCTGCTGCTGGCGGGGGAGGATGACCGTGCCGATGCGGGTTTGTTGTTGAGACACGTGTACCCTCTGCAGGGTCTGCCTGCGGGGAGGCTGTGTGTCGGTGGGAGCAGGCGCAGAGGGGAAATCTCTGCCTTCTGCTCCTTTTTTGCTGGGAGCCTAAAACTGCTCTGAAAATAGGACTGCTATTTAAAAAGGATGTTGAACAATGGCAGCCAGGCATAAACGTATGCTTGCATTTAAGTAAAGTTAAAAAACTATGCAAATCTTGAAACCGGCTGCAGGTGGAGCCTGTGATGGAGCGGCATGAAGCGTTTGGATTAGAAAGGAAAAGGCCTCGATGCGGTGTTTGCCGATGCCAAGGTGGTTTAGCCTGACCTCCCTAGGGGGCCTCGTTGGTTCCTTCTGGGGGGAGACTGGCCTTGACCATTGGGCGCCTCCCCACCCCCCGGTGTGGCCACTGGCCCTGCTGGGAGATGTGGGGGCCCTGGTTCTGGGTGGATTACCCAGTAACGTTCTCCCCCTTCTCCTGGCCGTCTCATTCCTGTCAGGCCGTGCTGGGTGACAGACAGCAGATAAGTCTGAGTTGGTTGGTTTTGCTCCCAACTTGCTTCAGGGCAAATGACTCACTGCCTGACAGCTTTAGGGAGAGCCTTTGTGCGGGGCACAGAGAGGAGCTAGCAGTCCCGCCCTGGCTGTTCACAGTCTGGCTGGGGAGCAAACCACAGGTAAACCGGAGAGAGTGGGTAGGATGTCTGCATCTCTCTCCCCAACCATCCTGATCCCCTCCCCGTGCCAGTCAGTGCTCCAGCTTCATCCGTGCCTCTTCCGGCCCGCACAGCAATCCTGTGAGATGTGGTCATTGTCCCAGTTTGGTGAGTGGCGAGTTCCTCATTTTGTACCTTGTGAACAGTTAAGGGGCACCTCTGATCCTGGGAAGCAGAGTGGCGCGCTCACTCTGGGGTGGAGTTTGGACTCCAGATGTGGTGCTTCGGCACTGGAGCCCAGTGGTGACATTTGGCAAACGCCCTGTGGCTTGTGGAGTGTCAATTTGTGTGAGTGTGTGTGTGTTACATAAGGATACACTCCCACTTTCCTAGTTTTGTTTTTTCCTCTCCCCACCCTGAACACACTACTGTGGGACAATAGGTCTTATTCCTGAACCACATTCTCTGCTGTATACACCGCCCCCCCCCCCCTCTCTCTCTCTCTCTCACACACACACACACACACACACACACACACACAAGGGGAATAAGGAAGTGTAAGGATATCACTGCTGAGCCCACAGCTCTTGTGTGTGTGGTGTTGTGCATTGTCTGTTGGTGCCCCTCCCTCTCTGTGGAATGAGTGCTCTCACCCAAAGCCTGGAGTCTGACCTCTCCTCCTGCGGCCACAGCCCTGAGCTCTCGCCCAGAAGGCCCTCTCGTCAGCAGGGTTAATGGGAGAACGAGCTGAATCCACTCCTCTCTGCCTGACCTTAGGCGTCTACTGACTGCTCATCCACCGGGATGTCTGAGGCATCTGTGCCCGCACACAAACAGCCCTCCGACCTCACTCCTGTGAGGGCTTCTCTCTGCACGGGGCTTATAGCGAGCGGAGAGTCCGCAGTGCTGCAGGGTGAGGGAGGGTGAGGGTGGGGAGCTGCCAGGTGCTTTGCAGTGAGTGTGTCCGTCCCCCCCCCCCCCCCCCCCCCCGCCCAGGTCCGGCAGCTGGGCCGGTCCATACAGCGCCCATGTCCCCGGAGGAAGGCAGCGAAGGAAAAGCAGACGTAACACATCTGGCACAGAAACAGCAAGATAAGAAACGAAAAGACCCGCTTGGCCTCACCATACGTCATTTCTCTCCGTGTCTTTTCTATAAGCCTAGCAAAGTCTAGTTTTCAATGATAACACAGACGCTGTGTGAACACATCCATGGGGCAGATGTCTGGTTAGCCTCAAAAACCAAGTTCCCCAAGACAAACCATAGGGTGTCCCCCAAAAGGTGTGCACATTTGTATGCACAGATGAATGAAATGCACTCGTTCAGTTACTTGTTGAAGGCCTGCTATAAGCCGAGCCATAGTCTTGGCGCTTAGGCATGGGGCCGTGAACAGAACAGAGGGAATCTCTGTCTCCTCGGAAGCTGATGTTGTCGTAGGGGGAGACGGACAACGAGCAGAACAGATGCGCAGGTTCCAGTGCGCGTTTGAAAGCGGCACGCACTGCGGGGAGAGATTGCGGTGGAAGCTCTGGTCTTAAGTCGCTGAGTACTTGGCAGGAGCCTACTGAGACGGTGACATTTGGGCCAAGACCTGAGTGAGCAGAGACCCTAAAGCAACGCTGCTGTCACCGTGGAGGAGGCCCTGGTGTCCCCCGGCGCCGTGGTCCTCTGAAAGGGACCCGGTGTGCCCACGTGGCGGGAGTTCTCTCCGGGCGTGCGGGCAAAGCAGGGCACAGGCCCCCGTGCCTGCCCCGGGCCCCGCCTGCTTGTCTTTCGTCACTGAGCCTCTCTTCCCTTCCTTGTGTTTCCCAGGAACATGCCTTCGAAAGCAGCCAGAAATATAAAGAAGGGAAATACATCATCGAGCTGGCGCACATGATCAAGGACAATGGCTGGGACTGAGCCGCGAGCCGCCGCCAGCCCGTGTCCGCGTGAAGGCCGCCCGACCGGACGTTCTACCCCAGCGGGGAGGGACTGGACACCGGCTCCATCCGCCGGGGCCCTGCCCCCGGGGCAGCCGCCCAGCCCGACGCCGTCTCCCCGGTGACCGGCCTCTACACCGCTGTCTCTCTGTCTCTTTGCTTTGTATCTGTCTGTGAGTTGATCCTGGCTTCTCTCTCTGTTCGCGTGTTGGCTGAAAACGAAACAGCGAAAGGAACAGACGCCTGCCCGCATGGCGGGGCCCACGTGAGAGCTGTCCCGTGGCCTCCGTCGGGGAAGCTGTGCACAGCGGGGGGTGAGCGAGAGGGAGGCCCCAGGGTGGCCAGGGACGGGAGGGGAGAGGTAGGGACAAAATTGTGCTATTCCTGGAGACCTGGTACCTTAGGCTTGAAGTAACCAAGTTGTCTAAAAGGACAAAGAGAAAAAAAAATACCTCATGACCACGCCCTCTCTGATCAGAAGCTTCTGCTCCTGACACCACAGGTGCCCGGGGAGCAGGTGGGCACCAGCGTGGCCCTGATCCTGGCTGGCAGGGCAGCGGCCTGCTGCTCCCGGGCTTGTTGGGGTGTCGTGGCGGCTGTGGGTGGTTGGGGGGGAGCCCAGCTGGGTTTGGACGCCTCCGGAGCCCCACCGCTCCTCTGGGCCATCTTCCTTTCCTCTGCAGCCACCGGAGGGTGAGGAGGGGGCTGCCATTTGCAATGGGTGCAAACATCCAGACATCCAAAGGCTGTGACCAGGAACCAGGAGACATCAGCGATTGAGGAGAACGGGGAACGAGAAGCCGCAGTTGGGGAGCTCCTGTAGAAACAGCTCAGATATTGGGCTCAAACCCCACCCCCACACGTAAAACCAATTAGCATTTCTGCGGGTCTGACCTTTCCCCTGCCCCTCAGTGAGAGAAGGCAACGCCGTGGCCAGGAACGGGGTGTGGAGGGGCGAAGCTGGGAGAAGCTTAGCTTTGGGTTGCAGGTTCGGTGCATCTTCCATCTTTGGGATGCAGTAGCTTCAGGAGGCCAGCAGTTCTCCGTACATAGAGTTTGGGGTGGTTTTCCCCTGTTCTGTCTTAATAGATTGTGGAAAACAAAGTCCCTCCCAAGGGTTTGAGCTTAGTGATCGCTTGCATGTGAGAGAGAAAACTGTCCGAATGGTCCAGTAGGGGGAGGGATCAGACTTGATGTCAAATGTTAATATTACCCAACACCCCCGCTCTTCTCCTCCCCGTCCAAAGCTCATTCCATTCGGAGAAGTGGAGAGCAAATCCCTGCGCGGCTCCCGAGAGGGAGGAGTTTATTACATCTGATCAGCACTCTTGTTCCACAGCCTCTTAGCCAGTGCACAGCGCATGGCGGAAGCTCCTTGAGCTGAGCTCCTTTCATTGCTTGGACTGAAAATATCATTGTTCAGATACGTGCAGGTTATGTCAGGCAATCCTCAGTATCTCGTTCCCCAGGTAGGCTGATCCTATAGGAACATTCACCTTTGAAATCGCCAATGAGTGTGTGCCTGGGGACAGTCTATAAAATCGATTAGCCAACCCAGGATTGTTCAGAATCGAACGAGCTTTCCCTAGGGTAGGGGTCGGCGGTGGAAATGCCTTTCCGTGTCTCAGTGCTGACCACAGCGTGGGGGCCCTGGGACGGCGAGGTCCTGCCGGCCGAGGTGGGCGGGGGGACAGAAGGCGGGGGCTCCGGGCCCCCGGCAGACGGCCTCTGTGAGACTTCTGAGTTTTAGAAATGGAACTTTGTTCCCAGTGGCTTCTCGCCCACATCTCCGGTGCTTTAGTAGCCCTGGGAGATTTTGTTCTCCCCACGTTACTGAAAAGCAGACTGAAGTTCAAAAAAGAAAGAAGAAAAAAAAAAAGTATTGCATTTTTGCTGCCAGAGAAATAGTTCCTCTGGTTCCCAGGCACTCCCAGGCCCAAGATCTCAAAAATAAAATTTTTACAACTTTCACATTCCTCAACGGGCTTGCCAGCCCAAAAGTCATAGATTCCCTTTTAGCCCCCTGGCTCAGGGAATGTCCTGGCTGTTGATACTCCTCCCCATGATAACAAAAGCGGGGGCTAACCATGGGTGTTTTGTCTTTAAAAGTAAGAATGGAGTGTAATTACAGAGAAACCAGACATGAGGTGCCCTAGAATGTTCAGCAGGAGGAGACAGAGGTGTCCCTCTTCCCTGGGGATGGAGCCTGCACAGGTCAGCCCAGGCTCCAATAAGACCCTGGTTTTGGTGGTGTTTTTTTTTTTTTAATTATTATTAATATCCATTGAGCATCCAGGGGTGGAGGGCACCATACTTGGTGCAAAAGATCCGAGAAAAATGTTGGTTTTTTCCATAAAAACAGAAACCCAACTCTTTGGGCTTTCCCTTCGTGTCATTGAAACCAAAAGTGCTTCTTAAACCTTCAGCTTCATTCACGGCTTGTCTGCCTAACATCTGGTGGCATCGGAGAGCCCTCAGCTGAGCAGTGGAGATGCATCAACGCATGGCCTCGGTCACTTCATTCTTTAATTTTCCTCACCAAATCATTGCCTCAGAGCATAACCAAAGACCTTGTCCACTCACCCCAGGGAGGTTCAGGGAATTGGAGTTCGATGCAAAACTTAGGTGGGGTTGAGGGAGGAGTGAGAAAGGAATCGGTCCAGAGTTCTGTGCCTCCAGCAGCTGCCTTCACCATCAGCTGAAGTCCAGCCACAGATGCTCCAGTTCCATCCCAGATCATACGGCCTTGGTGGCCCTGGGTTACACCCACCCAGCCCCATCCCGTCCTTGCTGTTCATCTCAGGCTGCTGGTGGGCTGGTTTGGCGGGAGTCAAATGCAGCCGAAGTTGAAGGTCACAGATGGTCACCTGGGCCTGACTGAGTGGTACCCAGACTCCGTGGACAGTAGTAAGTCAGGGACGCAGGATGGAGGACATCTCCCCCAGCGGGTCAGTGTGAAAAAAAGAGGCATCCCCTTTATACAAAGATTTTCAAGTGGATATATATAAAAGAAAGTTGCTTGTGAATATATACTTTTGTAAATAATATTTAATTTTTTAAATAATATATTTGGTGCTGTTTTCTCAGATCCCCTGAGAGCACTTTTTATTTTTCATTTTTAAATTGTATGGTTTTCTCTGCATTTCTTGAAGTATATTTTAAGGGAAACAGTGATCACCAATGTATTCTTTTTTTCGGGGGTGGGGGGAGATCTCTATCACATTGGAGTGGAGGCAATAAAGCAATGCCTTGCTGTATTTTTCCCCATTGGAATGAACTCTACAGTACATGAGCAGGTTGAGAATCAAAGTATTTTGCACCAGTATTGGCTAGAAAATAAATACAATCAAATAAATTTAGTAGCAGAGCGAAACAAATTGGAATCGTGTGTGCGTGTAAAGTACTTTGGATTGTGCCTCCTGTTTTTTTTTATTGGGGACACTAGTTATAGTTTACACCTCGGGCACATAAGGGTTTTCCTTCTCTTTCCCTCTGGTGATGGTTTTGTTCCCGAGCGGACCAACAGCACAAGCCTCGGGTCTCGTTTTCCTGAGCGTGGCACTGTGGCTGGCTTAGTCCCTTTTTCCTCGTGTGCTCAGCATTTCCAGACTGTGAAGGAAATCTGTGTGAAGATCAGGCAGAGGCAGATCTGTGTTTTTCTGAGATGTGGGTGTCTACATCACACATCCCAGGGCTCTGATTGCAAATCATGGTAAAACATCAACTCGTTTTGAAAGAACAGTAAGGGAATAGTGCACATACCTTGTTGGGAAGCAGCTTTTTTTTTTTAAAGGTCAGATTGGCCCAGGAAGAGGCTGAGAAATCAGATCTTAAACACAGTCAACTCACATATTTTTTAAAAGTCTGCCTCCAATGAGGGAACGTGCTAATAATGGTGTAGGTGGAGGAAAGAGATGGTTAATTTTAAAAATTAAAGACATGAAATCTGCCAGTAATAAAGGGTAAAGCAAGAAGGAGCAAGCTGTTCTAATTTTACCAAATTCTATCTGCACATCCGTTTTGCATAAAATTTCAGTGAGTGAGAGTTCCCTTCTCCAACCTGCAGAGACCATCTTCGAATACAGAATCTATTTATGCTTGTGTTTACAAACTATTTGTTGGGTTCGGGTTTTGTTACTTTTGTGTATCTTCTTTTGTTTTGTTGTTGGCATTTTTCAGGTCACTTTGCTTTAATAACAAAGATGATTTTCAAATAATTTGTCTTCACCTTTTCCTCTATTTGTACATAGTGGTTCAGTATTAGAGAAAAGTGCATTGTTTCTGTCATATTTCCAATCTGTGTTGGTGCTCATTTGAGAAAATAAAGTTTTCAAATATTAATTCTCGGGAGAGCTCATCTGTCTTCATTGACCCAGCCAGTTTGATCTTGGCATTTAAAGTAACCGTAAGGCCTGCAGGAGGTCACCCCACTCACAGACCCGTCAACTGAGGCGTTATCTTATCCAAGGACAGTTAGCCCATTCGTGAATAAAAATCAGGTCTCCGGCGTCAGATATCAGACATGTATGAGTGGCCGTTATCATTTCTGTCTATTCAGTCCATAGTCTTAGCTTTTCTGTTTATACCGGTTTCCTTGGAAATAGAAATGCGTTAGGAAAGGGGGGAATAGGGGACAAAAGAACAAAATTATGTCAAAAAGAGGCAGCAGGATCTCTGAATTGACTAACCCAAGTCTTCTCACTCATTGAACACATTTGTTAAACACCTTCTATTAGATTCCAGGCGAGAGGTGAGGCAAGTTAACATCCTACAAACCAGCTGTTTTGGTTCCCAAGTGCCTTATCTGCAGCCTCGCCCACAGGCACCCCATCTCTCAGAGCCAGCTGTGAGTACAGTTTTGTATTCTGGTACCTTCATGTTGCAGGGCAAACGTTTTTGCCTGGACATCATCCATTTATGTTATATTCTTTTGCTCCCCCCCCACACACACAAATATATTTTATTGATTTTCCACAGAGAGGAAGGGAGAAGGATAGAGAGTTAGAAACATCAATGAGAGAGGATCCAAGATGGCTGCGCCCAGGTGAACACCTAGCCGCAGCAGCACACAACAATTTCAATAAAATACAACTAAAATATAAAACGGACATTGCCCAGAACTACAGGAAGGTTGACTGACTGGAAATTCTACAGCGAGAAGCAAGGAGAAAACCAGAAGGAAGCGCGGAAGAGCTGGAAAAGCCCAAGGTAGGGAGACGCGGAGCGGGGAGAGGACAGAGCCGGAGAGGAGGGAGAGGCGGAGTGCCTGGCTGGCATTCCCGAGCGGAAAGGAGATAGAACTTCGACTGTGCTGGGCCCCCGACTGCTCTGAACCCCAGTTCTGGGCCAGACCCCAGGGACTCAGGCTCAGCCATAGGGAGCCGGGCTGTAAGGCGGAACCCCAGGAGCGGCGAGGGAAGGTCCCGGCGGCGCGCACATTGCGCGCAGAGAAGGGAAGGTCGGCTGTGCCGCGGGATTGCCCTGACGGGAAGGAGACTGGGGCTCCAGACTGCTCTGAACGCCACCTCCAACTCCACCTCCAACTGAACTGAACCCCAATACCGGGCTCATTGGGGGAGAGCCTAGACTGTTTGGCAGCAGGCGAAAATCGAGGGCACCTTTCTCTCAGAGGCGCCGGCAGCGAGCACTGAAGGACCCGCATAGGGCGGGGCTGACGGAAGCCAAAGCTGCAGGCTCCACCCTGAAACCCCGTCCCATCTGTAACTGCGAAATGAGACAACAAAATAGATCACAAACGAAAGAAATGGAGGACAAAAAGCGTCTGGATATAGAGTTCAAATCTACGCTTATAAGGTTTTTCAAGAATTTCCTAGAAAAGATGGATAAGACCTATGAGGATATGAAAAGAGATCAACTACAATAGAATTAATAAGGAGTCATCAAGAAATGATAAGGGATCAACAAGAAATAAAGAACACGTCTGAAATAAAAAATATTTTACAGAGTCCTAAAAACAGAAGGGAAGATCGCAAGAATCAAGTCAAAGATTTGGAACATAAAGAGCCAGAAGACACTCCTCCACAGAAGCTATTGTAGAAGGCAAGAGAATCCAGAAAATTGAAGATAATGTAAGAAACCTCTGGGACAACTTCAAGTGAACCAACATCAGAATTATGGGGGTCCCAGAAGATGAGAGAGAGCAAGATATCGAAAACATACTGAAAGAAATAGTGACAGAAAGCTTCCCCCACCTGGTGAAAGAATTAGACTTACAAGTCCAGGAAGCGCACAGAACTCCAAACAAAAGGAATCCAAAGAGGACCACACCAAGACACAACATACTTAAAATTCCAAGAGCAAAAGACAAAGAGAGAATATTAAAAGAAGCAAGAGCAAAGAAGGTAGTTACCTATAAAGGAGCACCTTTACGATTGTCAGCTGACTTCTCAACAGAAACCATGCAGGCCAGAAGGGAATGGCAAGAAATATTCAAGGTGATGAATAGTAAGAACCTACAGCCAAAGATAATCTATCCAGCAAAGCTATCACTCAGAATCAAAAGTCAGATAAAGAGCTTCACTAATAAAAAAAAAGCTAAAGGAGTTCATCAACACCAAGCCAGAATTATATGAATTGCTGAAGGGGGTTCTTTCAGAAGAGAAGGTAAACAAAGATAAAAATTATGAACAACAAATACGTAACTATCAACAAGTGAATCTAAAAACCAAGGAAATTAAAAAAAAAATCTGATGAACAATAGTAACTGTTGAATATAATAGAATCAGAGGTATGGAAGGGGAGTGAACTGATGATTCTTGGGGAAAAGGGGAAAGAGAGGCATGGGAAGAGACTGAACATAAACTGTGCACCTATGGATGAGGACAATGGGGAGTGGGGAAAGGGCAGAGGGCGGGGTGGGAACCTGGTGGAGGAGAGCAATGGTGGTGGGGGGGAAAGGAACATTTGTAATAATATGAACAATAAAAACTTATTAAAAAAAAAAAAAACATCAATGAGAGAGAAACATCGATCAGCTGCCTCTTGCACACACACCCACTATAGATGTGTCCACAACCAAGATACATGCCCATGACCGGAATCGAACCTGGGAACCCTCAGTCCGCAGGCCGATGCTCTATCCACTGAGCCAAACAGGTCAGGGGATAGAGCATTTTTATGGTATATTCTCAGCACTTTTTGCATAGCTTGCCTCCCTAAATCTCAAGGAGGGAAAATAGGAAAGCCGCACAGGTGTGTGGATGTGTTGGTGTGCTTTCACATCGGTGGTTATAGCATATGAACCTATTTCCCCATCAAATAGGAAATCCTTCTCTACTTCCCTTGAATTTTCACCTACCCCTCTGGGCCCAGCCGCTGTTGACTTTTAGTTGTCCTTGGGTGTGCTATTTTCCTGTGACCTGATTTGCCTCAGTGGACCTGCCAGTTATCATTTCATTCCTGTTTGCCTTTGGCAGACGGGGAGGAGAGGAGATAACACATGCTGGAGTCAACCAGTCTCGAACCAGCAATCTTTGGGCTCGTCTATCCCCAGCAGTTATCTGGTTCCAGATGACACTGGGAGGAAGTACAGAGGCACCAGGGCCCATGGAGTGCTTTGCCTATAGGATCTCACTGAGGATCCTTGCAATGAGCTATTTCTTCCGATCATCCCAGGAATCCTTGCCATCCTGCGGGAAAGCTGATTTCAAATTAAATATTGACTATTCCTGTTCTTTAGATGATGAAATTGGAGTTTTGCAAGATTTTGCTGCTAGCCACGGGGTCTTTCCCTATGCTGTGTTCCCAGTTTCATCCTCCAGCCTTCACTCTAGTGATGCTCATGGGACACTTTCCTTTTTTATAATTTTTTTTTGTTTGTTTTTTTAAATATATTTCTTTATTGATTTCAGAGAGGAAGGGAGGAGGAGAGAGAGAGAGAAACATCAATGATGAGAAAGAATTATTGATTGGCTGCCTCCTGCACATCCCCCACTGAGGATCAAGCCCTAAACCCAGGCATGTGCCCTTGGCTGGAATCCATCCTGGGACCCTTCAGTCCGAAGGCTGATCCACTGAGCCAAGCCAGCTCGGGCTCACAGGACACTTTCCAAGGCTGCCCATGTGACTGCTTCATAGGTAAGGGTTCAGGGAATGAAAGTTAGAACATTAATGTTCTAACAGCCACCCAAGTCAGTGCTACCTGAGTAAGATTGTATATTCCGTAGCCGAACATAAGTGGGGCTTTGTTGTTTTCTAATACTCTGTAATGGATTACATATGTAATCCTGGGCCCCTCGACTAATAGTAGGTACTTAATATAGTTTGGTGAACATTGAATTAATGTGGTTGGGGGAGAATGAACAGCTTTACACAAAATCTGTTCAACGTGTTGTTAGAATCCCTGAGAGGAGAATGGCGATGAGGTTAGCATGAAATGTTTTCTATGTGAGCTCATGGTTACACCACGAGTGATCAAATTGTTATTTGCATGTATTTATTCATCAAACTTTTTTTTTTTTTTTTTTTTTTTTTTTACATAATATTTGCCCAGTCTAGTCAGGAAACGTAACCCCAGGGTGCAGAAAATCAGAGGCATCAATTGTGCAGGGTGGGGAAACCAAGGGCTGGGATGGATGACCCTCCCTACTGTTGGCCAAATATCCAGCCATGACCCTCACAGGCAGCTGTTTCCTGCAGAAGCAATTGCTCATAAATCCTTTTATCTGGGCCCAATAAATGTCCTGGGGCAGCACAGGGCACAGGGCACGCTCTTGGAGTTAGAGCACAGGGCTGGCCTCAAACACCTGCTTCCCTTGGTAAAAAGGAAATAGATGGCAAGGGCTCGGCCCAGTGCCTGGGATACAGTGAGGAGGCAATCATAAAGTAATTGTTATAACAGCTTGTTCAAGTCTGTTTTGAATTGGAAGTGGAATAAAGAAGGCTATTGTGTTTGTTCTCAGTGTACATTATATGTTTAATTTTGCAACAATCCTGTGAAGCAAATGTCTCCGTTTTACAGAAGAGAAGCTAAGGCTCAGAGAGAGTGGATAAAAAGCCTGAGGGAGAGCTGGGACTTCTTAGCGCTTGTTCTGACTCGAAGCCTACACCCTATCTGTGGCCCCAGCTCGCCTCTCAGGAAAGGGAATAACTACCAAATAGGAAACTTTCTGGCAGATGTAGTTACACACCCAAAATTTCATAGGTTATTTTGTTTTTGTTCAAGTTTTCTTCCTTTTTATGTGAAATGGAAATTCTGGCTTTTCCAGTGGAAACCAAGAGCTTAAAATTGAGACTAGGGTTGAGTGGTATTATACCTTTGTTTCACAGGGTTTCAGGCCTGTTGATTGCAGTGCCTGTTGATTTTATATTTCTTAGGA